AATAATAATAATAATAATAATAATAATAATAATAACAATAATAATAACAATAATAATAATAATAATGATAACAATAATAACAATAATAACAAAAGCAACAATAATAAAAACAAGAATTATAATACCAAGATTATCAAGACCGCCTAAACTATTAGTTGAATATCCCTTGTAACAATACATTTGTCAGTTCAAATTTATAGCTGGCAAGTTTCCAAGTCGCTTCCAAGTTGCTAGTCAATTTGCTGACGATTCTAACCATAATAATACGATGCCTTTCTCCTATCTTTACTGTCCGGCCATTTCAGAGTAGATTAATCGTGCTAAAACGGGATTGGGTTTGAAAATTCCTCACCTTTTTTAGATTCAACATTTCCTCTTTATGCTTTTTGTTACTTGCCGCAATCTCTTGTTCCTGCCTTTCTTTACTCGTTTCAATCGACTTGCCCAGTTCGTCCATCTGCCGCCGATGCCTTTCTTTCAGATCGTCCAGAACTGATTTCAAATGTAGCTTCTCCTGAACGAAAAACACAGCAAATGCATTACTTTGGCCTACTTCGATATAGGATCATCTAAATAAACGACCCATATGGATCCGAATGAAAAAAAAAATGATTACTGCCGAACAGCCAAGCTTCGCTTCATCGGCGGTTGCCGCATAATACCTATAGTTTTTTATGTGTCTCTGCATGTTTATTGCAAATGCAAAAACGCATATTGTGACGGTCCATGGTGTGTATGTATATATGTTTGTGTGTGTTTGTGTGTGTGTGTACATACCGGTGTGTCCGGATTGAAATTTTGCGGTGGGCTACCAGGCCAAGCGTTACCCTGGGAAGTGGTACCAACTTTCATTACAGCTACACGTACGGGCACATGAAAGTTTTGGTGGGTAAATCGTTAACTTGGGAACCAGGCAAGCCAACAAGCTAAATTTTTGGTGAGATTTTCTTTGTCCACATGCAACTCAAAGATTTCAAATTCAGTTCCTAAGGTTTTTACAAAAGCTCGCAGCACAGCATTCAATTCTGCATATCCGGATGGCTGAATCTGTACAAAAATGAGGCCTGTTGTGCTCCACTTCCTTCTTCCTCGGCTGCTGTCCATCGACGGTCCCGATGATCCGTCAGCGGTAACCTGTGCAAAAAGCCTACAGACACGGAAGAGCAAGAAAAGTTCTGTCGAACTTTCTTCATCGCCTTTTTTGTGCAACAGAACTGGTTTCGTCTTTTGACCTCTCTCACATTCATGTACTATTTAGTATGTCAGTATTTACGTTTCACAATTTTTTTAGCACTATTATCACTACAGTAACCTAAACCAAACCAAAAAATCTTTAAAAAAAACCAATCTTTTTTTTTAAATTTTAAACAAAAAAAAAAAAAAACAAACTGCAGTCAGCTGCTCTACTTGCACGCCCAAATCATCATTTTTACGATCGTGCTCCATTACAGCAGCCACTTTTTGCATTTCTCGCTCCTCAATCGCCAGCTGCATTTGTTCCTCTTGCTCCTTGAATTTCAATGTCCATTGCTCATCCTGCAATTTAGCCAAGTTCTCTCAGTCACGGCTAAAATCACTTTTTTAAGAAAAATCCAAACTGAGGTAGCGAACACCGTGGGGGCCTAAAATCTCTTTTTCAGTCAAAATGCGAGGAATTTTTTCACAAATACGAGGGGGCGAGGAAAAGGAAACGGAGAGAAACATAGAGTTAAACAGCGAAAGAGTATGAAGATGGCCTTTATCAAGTAATAAAACATTTTCTACAGGATAAAGTATCAACTGTAAAATGTCACTTTTCAAATCTACTGTATTCCCAGTTCTATTATATGAATATGAAATTTGGAATTATAGGTTTGCTGGGGGGCTAGCCGTACCAAAAACAAAATAAATAGCAACGCGCACCAGACTAGCCGGTGCGATCATGCGTTTTGTGCAATTCAG